AGCCAACTATCAGCGCATTAAATCACCCGTTCAACAAAAGTAGTGCCCGGTCGCACATTCACTTAAATATCGCACTCTACACCTTCCCATTTATATGCGAATGTTTCGCCTGCCATCTTGGATCTCCGAATCCAGGGGTTGCGATCAAGTGTTAGATGGAGAAGTAAAATATAACATGGCAAACGCCGGTCTTTACGAATGCGCAAGTCCTACGAAACGAAAGAGAAGTAGTAGTCCGAACGCTCCGATACCCATCTTAACAAACACTCCATCGACGACGACGACGACGACAACTACCACAACATCTCAAGAAGTAAAACGGAGGAAGCGCGAAATGTCGGAGCAAGGCTGTCGGTCACCTTCGTCGGCTGAAGATGTTGTAATGACGGATAATCAAGAACAGGTCGTCGATCTAGGTTTGGTTCGAGAAACAATCGAATCTCAACTCAGCCTCGAGATTCTCATGAAGCATAACGAATTGCGCCTAATCGAAACAGAACTAGCAAAATGTCAAGTCTCTCTTGAACAGTTACGTCGCGCTCACTTGATACCATTCCCAGGCATGCAAGGAGCGGAAGCGGAAGCTTCTTCCGAGTCGATGGTTAACGTTAGTACTGGTACGGGTCCAGCAGTCTGGAGTGGCGACAAAGTTCCCAAATGGGCTCCGCCGTATGGAATTACCGAAGGACCCTACACAAGACATTGGGCAAAATGGTTAATTCCCGACCCTGCTTTTGATGGTATTGATATTGTTGATTCACGTGCAGGTCCGGGGAGGCCACGCGCTGGCAAGTCGATACCAGAAGGAAGAGCTACTAGAAATAGTATCGCTGAAGGAGGTAATGTCTCATCTAAATCGAGATCTCGTGGATCTCACAGTTTGCAATCTCTTTCCACCGGTCATATTCAACCAAAGAAGTCTGGACCATGTATTCTCAAGCGGAGTGATGGTAAAACTGTTAAGCTTGTCTGCTTGGATTGCAATCGCGAAGATTTCTCCAGTACTCAAGGTTTTATCAATCATTGTCGCATTGCTCATCGTCGTGAATTCAAGAGTCATGAAGAAGCTGCTCAGACTAGCGGACATGTTATCGAAGTCGATGAAGCTGGTGCAGCTCCTGTTTTGGAGAAGAGTCCAAGTGCACCACCAACTAGAGATCCTGTTCATCCTCTCGTTAAAAGTGCGCCTGTCGATAAAGAAGCCTATACTGCTCTTCGGTCTCGTATCGAAGATTCTATGAATCTATATCTCCAAGGCAGGCTCCCTGGTGTGACTTCGATTCCTGGAAGTGCAACGTCATCACCACAAAAGCAACCCGTTGTGAAACCCAAAGTGCAACCTCCAAGGGAAAATTTCAAACCATCAACCGCCACACCTCATCTTTCCGAGTTACTGAAAAGCAGAGGCTTTGGTGGTGATCTTCATGAAATAGTTGGTGATGCGAAAACACGTATTGATATGGATGAAATTTTAGCATCTGAGGAGGAATCTTCTGATGATGAAGTGACTGAAGAATCAACTGCTGCTATACCTTCACGCCGTCCTGGTGGCTTTGATGGTTCAGTAGATACACCAATGACTGGTATGCGCATCCCAGCTCGGGCTACCATGTCACCAGCATATTTTGGTAGACCTACAAGCAGCAAAGGTATGGAGGCTTCCGGGAGACCTGGTCAGGCTCACATCTCACCTCGTCTAACTTTCACTACCCTCAATACTTCTATGCCTGTATCGGAAACCAGAAATAACCGCCCGCAGCCTATCAATACTCGAGATCACGATCATGATGGAGATACTGATATGGGCATCCCCGATACATCTTCCATCATTGACCTAAGTCCAAACACGGTTGTTAGTAACAACGCTCCAAGTCTTGTTAGTGATGATGGTGAATACGACGAAGGTGATGATGATGCAGAGAGTGTATCATCAGGAGATGCTGACGAGGGTAGTGATGTCGCCGAAATCGATATCGAGGATGGAGACACCGAGAAAGTCGTCAGAGGAGCGGCGTTAGGGAGGAGTCAGGATCGCAACAAGAAAGATGATAAACATGTTACGTTCGTGAGAGAGGTTCCTGACGCCAATGGAACAAATAAGAAAGTGAGGCCGAGACAAGGATAGTGCAGAAACTAGGATGAGAATGGAATGGAATGAATAGCGAGCGTTTTATTCTTTGGTCATAACTGATGATAGACATTTTTTTTCATGGTGTGAATGATGGACTTGAAGTTTTTGACTTTTTTTCTTTCTTTTTTTCTTCTTTTTTTGGCAAGCGCTTCTTCTCTACTCTTTATTTTATGATATTGCCTTTTTTTCCCCTTCTACAATTTTACAATTGGGGATGATGAGAAGTGAGGAGGATTACGATAGGATGGATTGGGTTAGTTTAGGTTGGGTGGGAATGGGATTGATGAAATGAAACACGGTACTTTTCATGTGTATTGCGTATTGCATATTACAAATACAATTACAATGGCATTCGTTGAGTTTTGAGGGGTTATAGATATTAGGGGTGGAGGTGTGGGGGTGGGGGAGGGGGAGGGTTTGATATGATTTGATGTGATGTGATGTGATGTGGGATGGGATGGGATGAGATTGAGGAGGGGATTGAGGAGGAGGGGAAGGAGATTATTTTCATGAAAAGGAGAGGGGTTATGTGGTTATGGGGAATGGGGAATGGGATGGAGGGAGGGAGGGTGCTTTATGATGGAGATAGGTATATTATAATAAAAACAATACATACATACATACACACATATATATATATACATTTGGTGATTCGTAAAGAACTATCGGATTGTGTAGATGTAGTGGATTGGATATTGGATATTGGATATTGGATGTTGTGTGTTGATGTTGATAAGAATGTGTAGTTTGGATGTGGTTAGATGTTTCTAGGGTCGTTGGAACTTGGAAATTCTAAAGGTTTTTGAGTATCTGGTATCTGATATCTGGGTTCTGGGAGGCATGGGAAGGACAGAAGGGAAGGGCAAACTGATGGCGAGAATAGGTGGGTTGATTGTAACCTTATATATTGGCTGGAACCGAATGGTGATGATTATAAAGGGGAAGATCTAGATTGAAGATCCGAGAGACGAGATCCGAGAGATGAGATCCGAGATACGATGTAGAATTTTGGGAATGTAAGATTGTATTTATTGATACTGGGAATGCGAAGGGATTGAGTTTTTGAAACTGTTCGTTTCAATATATTAGGTACGGTGTGGTGTGTCTTCCCCGATGGTGTTTTCTGGGCTGTGGAAATGGAAGGTGATGATCATGACGAGATCTATTTATTCTGTATGAGGTAGTTCTCTGGATACTCGAAGCGGGTGAATAACCTCTGGAATGGCCGGGGTTTCTCTTTTTATTTTGGAAATGAAGAAATAATATTTTGGTTTATGAGGCTTGGGGTTTGGAATTTGATATGTTGTGTTTTATTTCTACTTTATTAATTGTTTTCCTCAAGTTTAAGTTTACTAGGTAGGTATGCTTGTATTGGACTTTCCTTTGGCGAGAATCATATGATTGGTTGCGCTCATGGTTGTAGGATGGATGGGTGTAGATATCTTGCTTATCTTTCCTGGAAAGACTAGCGTTGGGGTTTGGATAAGGGGTTTCTTGAGGGAGGTATATGTGTGATTTATTATTATGTGTTTAGGAATCTATACAATCTTTCGGGGAAAAAATCAAAGTTAGCAGAATGCCTCACTGGGATGAGGATCCTTTGTATTTGATTTTGGTAGTAAATTCAATAAGTGATTGCTTGGAAGCGTGTACACCAGCGTCGATACTTACTACTAGCACAATTAATGATGCTTAACCAATTCATATTGAAGTTCTTGAAGAACGACTTTCTTTTTGATATCCATCGGTGCCTCGCTTGTCAATAATTGAGTGTTGTATTCCCAGATCTTGTACATGTGAGGTTTTTTTTGGATTTTTAAGCTGATATAGGTACACAGCTATGTGCTAAATAGTCTTCTTGCATCTCAAAGGTTTGAATTACTTTCATCGGGTGTGGAGCTGAATCCTGGAGGGAGATGTATGTATGGAGTTGGGGGTCTTTGTTCTTTTTGAGTTGAGTTGAGTTGGAATGTGGAATGTGGGATGTATAAAGGAAGTCAACAGGTGGGAGGGAAGGGGGAGCTTGGGAAGGTTGAGGAGAGGATGGGATGGAACGGGAATGTTGTTAGAGAAGGAGAATGAGTAGATTGGAGTTGTTATTGTTACTAGTGTGTCTTGAGAGTCGGAGAAGTATGTGGGAGATTGATGTAGCGGGGGGTATGGAAGATAAGGGGGAGATCGAGAGGAGAGGGTTAGAGAGAAGAGGAGGTAGAGAGAAGAGGAGGTAGAGAGAAGAGGAGGTAGAGAGAAGAGGAGGTAGAGAGAAGAGGAGGTAGAGAGAAGAGGAGGTAGAGAGAAGAGGAGGTAGAGAGAAGAGGAGGTAGAGAGACAGATAAGAGAGACGAATGAACTTATATAGAAAGGAAAAAGCTTACCACAAAAATCAAGCCTCTTATAACTTCCCAGAAACACAATCAAAATAGGAACAAAAAATCACTTTCACAAAAGACCAAAAACTCGAAGCAGAATCTTGTAAGTAATACCCGGGCCCAGGCAATCTTATATTCTATCTAAACTGCAAGCAATTTTCATGTATCTAGTACATGAGAAAAGCTCTAACTTCTAACTCTATCATATCCCATCCCAAACACACAAATGAAAACAATGACACATAAAAAGGAAATCTATCATACAACATCCTCCGATCACCAACTCTTTGCTCAGTTTCTCGATTCGCATGTCGTACTTTCTTTCTTGTAGGTGAGAGATGGGGAATTTGGATTGTCGATGTTGTCATTGTCGGTGCGAGAAGAGAAGAAGTGCAAGGAAAATGGTTAAATCTCCTCGAGTTCACTCAGACTCTAAAATCGAAATCCCCCACCCCTGAAATCCAAATCAAGACAGAAAAGAGATCATCCACATCAAAACCTTAAATCCAAACACATCCTGTACCCTTTTGACCGCAAACAAGCTAAATCACGGATCACAATTAGCCATCTTCATTCACTCCAATTGTATGCATCACAAAATCAATAGGAAATACTTACCACTTGTTTATAACCAATTTCGGGACACATAACCACATCGCAATCTCCAGCTTGTCCGAAGCAGCGACAATTGGTTTGTCCGACTACTTTGCCATTGTTGCAGAATCCAACGACGTTGCCGCAAGAGCAGGAGGTGGCACAATCGTTGCCGCGAGAATCGAGGGTGTTGGTGTTGGGACTTGAGGGCATGGCGAGGGCGTTGGTGAGGAAGAGGGCGAGGAGTGGGAAGGTGATGGTGGAGAATTGCATTTTGATAGTTTTGGGTGGTGGTAATTGTTGTGTGGTGGTGAAGATATTGGAAGTCTTTTGTGGATTGGATTGAATCTTGTTGTTGATGATGATGTTGATGTTGATGATGTAGAAAGTAATTCCGACAGTTTCATCTCAGCACTTATATACATTTCCATCTCATCTCGAACCTTTCAATCATCACATACAACTTACAACATACAGTATCCATCGACACGATACTATTCTCCTCAACAACACAATCCTCACAACTAAGCCAGACCCGCGATGACAGGATCGGGAATTCGTAAAACTCCCATCTCCAATGTACGTAGCTACGTACCGATTTGGATGTCTCCGAATCATCTTTCCGCTGTCTGCGTGCATGGCCGAGCATGCTTTTGCACAATCCACGAGCCGCAACTTCGTATTTCTTATCGTGTAAGTTGTTCTGGGCTTTCACGTACATGCGGTCGATTCCCTCGACCTCGTGATGAGGTTGTTCATTTGGTCTTGTTTGGTCTTGTAAGATTACAATGCGAACATAACGTGACATATTTCGAAACTCGCAAGGAGGAATTCCACCAGCGCTTACTGAAGAAGCGCTTTACGGGCAACCCGTCAAGCTGTTTTGATCTTTTTGATGGTGGGCAATCAGCGATGGCGTTTTAAACGTTGTTAATATTTCTTCTGAGATTACTGTAGATATCAATGGTCGGGAAATAATATCATAGTTCTCAACCGACTCCTCTCATCCCCCAAAGTCACATCAATTCCATCGAACCAACCCCATGGAAAGCATTCGCTAGTCCCACTCCTGTAAACTTAGCGTCGAGATCTCAATTGCAATTAACTCGCAGGAAACATCTAGATGACACCGAGACCTCCATTCCGCAATAATGTGTACCCGCATCCACTATAGCATAACTACCACTCTGCCCATTGAAACTCGTGGGAATTAAAGGGTTATTCCCAGCGACTCAAACCAGCTGGCGAACTGTCGCAAGCGCTGAGCCCGACTTCCCGGATTACCGCCAGGATCTGAGTGTGGATTGGGGGACGGGGTTTGTTTGGTCGGCGAGTGGGCGCTTAGAGATTCTTCTTTGATGATGACAATGGACAGGTTAGTAAGACGGGAAATTGGGAATGAAGATGTAGGGCTGGAAATAAGGTTGATTTTTAACTATATGCGAAATACGAGGCTGGTGGCTTACATTTAAGGTTAATTGAGAACGGGTAGATGAATGGATGGATGGATGTGGGGAGTTTTCCTTGGCTTGTTCGTAGATGTGGATGTTTGGCGGCTAATTTTACATGATGCTAAGATGATTGATATGGAAGGTGTACCCTGTTATGAGAAAGAGTGGAAGAGTAGAGCTAGAAGGTTTATTGAGATGGGGAGATCCATTGGAAGAATTGAGTCAATTTTAGGTTTGTGGAGATATAGATGTGAGGAGGTTAACGTTTTTCGGCTAACGTGATTAGCTCCTCTAATTCAATTGAAATTTTTATGTACATGCGTGTGTCAATTTCCAAGACGAGAAATCCACGGCAGCAGAAACGCCCGCAAGGCTCACAGATATGTATAACTCTCTAGGTGTGGTAGCATGTAAATGCGAGGAGGAAAACAAAATTTGATCCCTGATGTAAATGCAAAATAGTTCCGACTAGCTTTAGTTCACTCCTAGATACTATTTACTATTTCATGACACTACATATTCAAGAGCTGTAAATACCACAAACTATGATGCGGTTTCTTTCTGCATTCGAATTTGAGTAAAACCCAAATGTATTCCTCAAACCACAACTTCCCGCCCCCAAAAAACCAAGTATCTTGATAGCCGTGCTGTGGCGTATACGACACCTACATCAAACCCTAATCCATAGTATAACTAGTCCATATGATCTCCGGCGGGAATTTCCTTGGCTTTGCGTGATAGACCTTCATCCAACCCATCACTTCCAGAAATCCCGTCTAACATCCTTGATATTAGCACAACTACACCTGGGGTAAATGAATGTTAGATTTAACTTTAAAACTAAGGTATTGATCATTTCTGGGCTTTTGATTTCTCCACTTTTGAGCCTGGTGGAAGGGACTGGGTATCTGCTATCTTGAAGTTTAAGTTCCTATACTAGATGTTGGGGGAAGTCGAAATAAGCGCTACGTTTATGATCACTCCTGCTCGAGCTTCTAGAACGAATGCACATATCCACTTTTGTTGTAATAGGAATTATTCAATGGGGTTTTTCTATTAGCTGTGTGCATATATGAAGTTTGGAGTAAACATCTTTGATGCGACATCTATTGATAGCTTGACTTATTTTGTCACAATACTCCATTTACTCGTTTACTCGTTTACTTTTCATTCCATGTTACGGCTTTGTATAGATCTGTGTTTTTGAACCTTCACACCTATCCACATCTTTACTGATGATCATTTATCATGAACAATAGTTTTCAGAGTTGACTAACCCTCCCATCTCACGGGGCAATTCCTTTTTGAACTTTCAGTGTCACCAAGTGTTCTATCTCGTCACCTCTCACCTCTCATATTCATCCCCTTACTCCTTCCCCCCCTCTTTTTCACCACTCTCCACACCAGAAACTTCCCTCTCCCCTGAGAGAATACTCCTCCATAACTCCCTGTTCCTTCTCTAGTGCAGAGATAATCAAAAACGTACAGAATCACAGAATCACGCTACAATACGCTTGAGAAATTTAAACTCATCACTTAAGGCTTTTACTTGGTTCAAGCACGATATTATCTAGAAATAATTGATGTCTGATTGCCATGAGTAATTTGATGACAAGCGAATACAAAATGTAATCTTCTTCTCTAATTTCAATATCTTTTCCCGGTCCTAAGATATCTTTCCATTCCACAGTAGCGCATCAAAATTTCATCAAACATGTTGAAAACCTTCTATGCTGTTGAGTATTCTTCAGAAAATACATAATGTACTTGTAGAACTCCAGTACAGGATTGAGGAGCATCGAGGATATAGAGGATATATATAAGCAGGGAGTGACTTAGCAATTAGCAAGGAGCCAATTTATCTTGACAAGGAAAGGGGGATAATGAGCAAGAGATTGAGGAGAGAAATTCAGAAAACAGAAATACAACCCTCGATAAAATAAAACCAGTATATCCATAGTCCGAGTCGCGGAGAATTTTCAACTGTACAAAGGGGATCCATAATGCTCCACCCGTAGTTCTTCCCGAATTTCATATCATGCAATGGAACCCTTCCTTGAGCCGGAGCAGCGGCTGGCTATTGGCAAAGAGAAAAACGCACGGCGTTGAGATGTATCTGAATTCTGCAAGCCATAATATAGTGAACTTCCCACCCGAGAGATTATAATGAGGAAAATGGAGATAGCGATGCAAAAGAAGTGAGAGGGACTGGGATAAATAACCAAAAAGAAAGAGAGAAAAGAGGAGGGTAGTAAAATTCTCTTGATGAGTTTCCTAGGATGGAATTCCAAACCTCATGTAAAAATGTTTGTCGAAACGCGCATACGCACTACTAATCTGATAATTCCTTCATATGAATTCCTCGATTAATGATGAGTTCCTTTAAACATCAGTTCTAAGTTCCTGTCCGTTAAGTAAATACTAAACCCTCTCCATTCATCATCCACACTCCACCCACCTCTTCCCCTTCCGTCATTACGATACAACACACAAACTCCGATCACATCACATCAGATCAACAACAAACTAGCAACCGCCACCCCACATAAAAAAAAGGTGAATTCCTCCAAAAGCGTTCGAATGAAAGAAAAACACGGGCCGAGAAAAAATATCATCATGCAGATGAGGAGAAGCTTGAGATTAGTGTATAGGAACATTTTCTTGTTTGAGGCTGGAATTAGATAGCCAGGCGGGTAGGTGATGAGATTTGGAGGTTTGGCGTGGTGTTCGGGATGAGTAGTTTTGATGTTCAATACTTAATGGGTATATGAATAAAGTGATGATATGTGATATACAATATAGAACTAGATAATAGACATTTTTTTTACGACGAAGACTGGAGACTAAACGAAACACATATACAAATACATCTCAAATTCTCCCCTTCGAACCTCAACCCGATACGTCGGGTTGATTCTAGAAGCCTTTTGGTCTGAGACATGTGGTGACTGAGTATAGCTACATCTAACACATTTTTTCTTTTTGAGGGTTGAGAATTGAGACGGCTGAGATGCTTGTCTTAGACTTGGATATTCGGGATGAATATTCAGGATGGGTATGCTATCGTATCACGCTAGAAAATCCGATGGGGGGTTAAGATACTCAGAGCGCTAGTTGGTAGGTCATGTTTGCTATTGTCTTTCTTTTGAAAGATATTGGGATCTCATGGGACAGAGCGAACTCGTCGAAGTGACAGGTTAAACTTTCAAACTTCTAAAAATTTGTGGTTTCCCGAAAGAGATTGGTAATTTCAATTTTAAAAAACTGGTCAGAAATGCTCAATTCTGCATGTGTATTGTACGCACTGAAATATTGATGATGGTGATGATGACGATGATAGACATGAAAGATCAACGGAATAAGCGAGAGACGAACGTAATGTACCTAGGAAATGGTGTTCTACTATTTGTAACGCACGAAATAGATATTGAATCCCGTTGCAAGCCAGAATTAAATCATCAAAATGAAATCTCTCATACAATTTCATTAACGCCTATCTATGAAATGGTCCAATTTATCCCTCGCTCCATCGTGACTTGCTCCAAGAATTGATAGGCTTGCCAACTCCAAGTATAAGATCATAACGCATCTTCAAACTTGTGACTTTCCCAGAAACAGGAGGTCAAACAGCATATCTGTCTGTCTTACTACCAATTGGCGAACCCGTTCGGCACTCTGATACCGCGTGAGTTTTCTTATTTCGACGACCCATGTTTTTCTTGCGGATTCCTTAAATTTGTCAGTACAAATCAAGTCAAACAATCTAGGTAATCAAGGGTAGCATCATACCCAGCATAATAATCTCGCACAATAACGCTCGCC